TGAAATTTAAATTGAAATAAAAAGTTAATTATTTATTTTATTAAAGAGAAGAAATGTTTTTTAGGGTTTTTTGGTATTTATGAAATAAAGAAAATTAATTAAAATTAGAAGTTAAATGAAACCCTAGTTCTAAGTTGTTTTTAATTATTAAAGAAAAAAGATTAAAGTTTTAACCTAACTTATTAAAGAATTTATGTACATGTTTATTTACAAAATAAGTTAGTAATTAATAATAATAATAAGAAGAAAAAATTGTTTATTAAGAAAAAGGATAAAAATGTTAAAGAAAACCTAATTTCTACATATTTTAGTTATTTAAGAAAAAATTAAAATTGAAAACCCTAAATTAAACTAAATTGATTATTAAAAATTTATTTACAAAAAAATATTTAATAAGTAAATTAATTAACATATTTTGATGTCTGGTTTTTATTATGAAAATTATATTTTGTGAATTAAAAGAAAACAATTAAAATAATTAAAAGAACAGAAAAGGAGATTAAAAAAAGAATACAAACAATGGGGGTGTCTGACCCAATTTGGAGGTTTTATTGGAGTAATTCTGGCCCAAGAATGCAAGAAGCCCGTTTGACTTTTCAGCGTATGTGTACGTAGTTGAATGAGTGTGCATCATGGACTGCTTTTGTGGCCATTGGATTGATCACTCAGATTACGTGGCAAACTAGCGCTTGAGGATGTATGATGATCCCTGGGAAGTGCACTGCATGGAAGCATGTTATAGAAAAAATCATGAAATATGATAGGGGACCTGGGAATCGAACCCAGGTCCCAGCGCTTACCAGATGTATCAATTGCCAGTTGAGCCATGCGCGCGCGTTGTATAGGTATTGGCAAGCAAACAATATAATACAAAACAAAACTTAGTGATATACAACGCGCCATAATTCAAACGCGCCAGTCATCATGAGCCATGTCCACCTTCTTCCTCATCTTTTCTGCAATTATGAAACAAATAACGGGGGTTTTAAACCCCCACTAACTGCAATGCACAAAAATAACGATTAGAGCATGGTCAATTATAAAAAAGGCGCGAGGTGTGAGTTTGATTCGTCTTCCCGTCACGAATTCATTGGTATAGGTTTTAAGGCCTGATTTTACCATATGCGTGAACCCCTAAATCCAAGCTTCTGAAACCCTAGCAAGCGTTAATGGCATATTTTGATATAGGCATCATTAGTTCAATTAAATGGTGCTATTAGTTTCAGAACATCATTGTGAGTGAGAATCAATCAACAAAACACATGAACAATGCTTAAAAATCAAAACACGATAATGGATAATTTCATGAAAAGTATGATGTCGTTCTACCAGTTCTTGAGGTATGGAGAGCTGGTTTTGATTGTAATCGCTTCCTGGATGTCTTGGCAACGTATTGAAATGCTTTTGAAGCTTAGAAACGCCTTCTAGGTATGAAAACAGTTTCAAGATTTTTGATGAAAAATTGCCAATTGGTTCTTGGTTTTCTGCGCAGCTTTTTGTGTCTAATGGAATAGGTTTCAATTATGCATATGTAGCTGAGTGAATTAGGTCAAGAAAAACCAGCCCAAAGTCCATCCATTTATGATTCAAATATTTGATTTTGTTACATCTTTTTTCAAATCTTTTTGCCATGGAAACTTGCCAATTGTGGAAGATTTTGTCTCTTGAGAAGGTACACGAAATATTTAGCTCATAATGGAAGGATTTGTTGCACAAAAAAGATTTAAAACCATTGTTTAGTATTTTTCTCATAATTAAATTTAATTAAATGAATTAATAAGATTAAAAATTCAATTAATTAATTAAAAATAAGAAAATAACTCCCTTTTAGCTTAATGGGTCGTGCATAGCCTTTGGGTAATGATTCATGGAAGAAATTGAGGCCCATTAGCAATTTTGAGGCATTTGAAGCAAAGTTGACTTTTCAAAATTCCCAAAAATTTCCCAACTTCTACAAGGCATATCTTGCTCAATTTTGAAGATATTATCATGTTCTTGGACATTTTGGAAAGGTCTTGAAGTCCTCTAACCAATGCCTTTGGTCTCATGTCATTTTGATCTACGAATCTCAAGTTATGGTCTTTGACTTAAAGTGCCTTTTTGTTGACTTTTGAAAATGACCTATAATGTTGAAATTGATAACTTTTTGTGAGAGCATTTCTTGGACTTGAAGTGTGAAGATGAGTTGTAGGAAATGTCATTCTCTTTAAAATGACCTTTGGATGGGATTTTTCTGATAAACCATGAAGAAGTTATGCCCTGGTCAATTTGCAGTTGACTTTTCAGCTGTCCAAAAATAGAAACTTTTGCATCTTGAGACTTTTTGAGCCATGCTTTGAGAATCATGATCAAGAATTGATCAAATGATGTTTGTGGCTTCAAAATAAGATGTTGACCAAAAATTTTGACTTTTGACTATCAAATGACCATTTTGCCCCTGCAGTTGACTGTGAAGCATTTAGGGTTTTTGACTGTGCAGTTTGATGCTGTGAGTCTTGAAACTTGACATATGAATGCTTGATAATGTTTATAGGCACGTGGGACTTGATTGGACCCTTGGAAACTTCAATTTCTTTTCCAGACCCAAAACCCTAATTTTGACTGTGTTAGGGGGCAATTAGACTGTGCAACCTTTGAGGGATTTTGAATCATCTGGAGATTGATCTTTGGCAAATCTTGAAGAATATGGGAGGGCAAATTTTGGGGTACAACACCATTTGTTGTGTAAAATGGGGACACGGGTAATGATAAAATCAGTACTTCAAGCAATACCCTCATATGTTATGAGTGTCTATGTTATCCTAGATACTACCGTTAATGATATAGAGAAGATATTAAACTCATTTTAGTGGGGGAGGTAATATTAATAAAGGTATAAGTTGGATTTCATGGGAGAGATTGACATGTTCTAAGAATGAAGGTGGTCTTGGATTTCGTAAATTTAAGGCATTCAACATGGTTATGATGTTGAAGAAAGGGTGACATATAATGACAAATGCGAACACCTTGGTAGCTAGAATTTTTAAAGCAAGGTATTTCCCTCACTCTTCTTCATTTGAGGCTAACCTTGAAATAATCCTAGCTATGTATGGAGAAGCTTATGGAAATCTCCTATTATGTGTTTGACCATTACGTGTAGATGGAGGAATGGAGATGGAAGCAAAATTAAGGTGATGTCTAAAACTATGATTGAGAAATGAATGAAAGGAATGAGTGAATGAACCACAAGGCCAAGATGTGTACAATATTAACGTTAATAACCTTTTGCTTAATAATTTCAAACAATGGGATGAACATAAAATTAAACAAATGTTCACTCATGATGCAGTTAAGGAAATTTTGGATGTGCCCCTTTTGGAAGATGTAAGTGATTACTGTTTGGTTTGGTTTGGTTTGGAAAGAGGAACAAATGGTGATTATATTGTCTAAACAAGTTACAAGCTTCTAATGTGTGTCCAAAGTGAACGAGGATATCAAAATATATAGGGTGACTGGTGTAGTTTGTTGAAGATTAGAGCACTGCCAAAAGCTAAACACTTACTATGGCAGATATGTCGCGACAATCTCCCAACATGATTTCGACTTCGTCAACATTATGATTAGTATCTTACTATATGTAAATTGTGTGAAGGAGGATTAGAAGATGAGTGACACATGTTTTTGGATGTACAACAAGTTTATAGTGTTGGAATGCGGCATTTTTAAGCCCAGTCATCGCACCATGGCTACATATTTTCGATGAGGCGAATACATTGATTCACACATTTGTAGTAAGGATGAATGAGCACTCGCAAATATAATTTCTATCATGTCATGGTTGCATTGGAACAATAGTAATAATTGGATATGGAACAATGAGAAAAGTGATGCAACTCAATTAGGCACGCAAGCATTTCATAGTTGGAAGGACTGGTTTATAGGAAAAAAAGATCACCATAATATCGTGAATGAACACCAGAATCAGTAGCAACAAACATGGAAACCGACACGTGAAGGGTGGGTGAAATAAAACGTCGATGTTAAATTTAATAATCAAAGGAGAACAACAAACAAATGGTGGTGCTTCATAGATGAAAACCGAAGGTTTGTGTTAGTTCAGAAACAACATGGAATTTTTGCGTTTATTCTGTCATAAAGGCTGAACCATTGGACTTGAAATATGCTTTGTATGCATTCATTCATATACAATGGAACACACTAAATTTGAGAGTGACTCACAGATGATGGTGCAAGCAATTCATGCAAATTAAGGTGGTAATTCAAATTTTAGTGTGATTATTTAAAATTTTAAAAATCTATTAGCTTTATATTCCAATTTCAAAGTAAAGTTTGTCAAGTGCCAAACAAATTTGATTGCTCAATTGTTAGTTAAAGCGGATAATATTTAGACTAACCGCAATATTTTGTATTTGATTCTTTCTTGTATCGATGACAATTAATTAATAATATTAATTTTATTTGTGTAAAATAATGGTGTAGAGTCTAATGTAAATTTTTGTAGAAGTTTGTTTTAGGAAAAAATGTAAATTCATTGTGGTTGGTGGAAGAAACTTAAATACTCAATTGCAAAGTAAGAAGTACATCATTTAAATATCTTTTTCTTCTTAATTATATCAATCCATAGATATTTCATTTGTTAATCCTATAATTGAAAGGGTAAACAACATTTTAATTGATGGAAATCATAAGACTTATCTATCAAAGATTGCCTTGTTCTCAAATTTATATTGTTTGTACTTTTGTGATTGAAAATATGCACATATAGAGACAAAAGTAAAATTTAAAAAATCTCCACACCAACAAACAAAATCTCAAAACTCTTGATCATAAAATTCACTATTTCCCATTGATGGAACAAGACAATTTTGTACATCACTCTCACTTGTCCTTTACCTATAGTTCTAAAATCATAATCCCCCCAACAAACATTTAAGTTCACATTGATCTATACACATAAACAACCTTTCTTTATTTTCAAACAAAAAAATACCCTAAAAATTCTACAACATTACTCGTGCAATTTGTGTGTAACCCTTTTCTTTGATTTCTTCAGCACATCTCAAGGTCTTCTCAATATGGTACCCTCCTCCAATGCTCACTTCTCTTTCTAAATGGCAACAATAGCTCTCAAATACACTCACATTAACATGTAATTTAAAATTCATCATGAATAGAAATTCAAGCTCTAACTCATTCAATTCATTTGTTGTTAATCCTCCAACTTTTGCAAAGTACGAGTTTCTAAAGTTCCTGAAAAAATAAAAAAGAAGCCACTTTAGTATCACAATATATATGTCTAGTTAGTTGTGACATGTCATCATATTGTAGAATCTTAAATTTGAACAATCGATCTTCTATTAATTAGTAATTGCAATTTCATTTGATTATATGAACGCGCTTTCAAATATGTGACATCTTATTTTTCATCTTTAAATCATGAAATTCTAAACATAAACTATTAGATAAAAAAAGTTGATTGAGACAAAAAATTTAGAATTCAGCAAAATAGAAATATTGTTAATGATTGGAATTGAAAGGAATGTAGTTTCTTTCAATTTAAGAAACCAAGAAAAATGAGGAAGAAGAGTACTTACATATCTTCAACATACTTTGAAGCAACCATAATAGTTGTGATGAGAAGTCTATGAACATTTCTTGAATTGATTCTAAACCCAACATTACTTTGACAAAACCTATCAATATACACATAAGCAACAACATACACCGAAGGTCCAGCACGTGTGTACCTAAAAACTCTCTCTAAATAGGATTGAATGGTTAAATCAGGAACCTCTCTACAATCAAAGATTTTTGTGGTGATTTCTTTGGACAAAACCTTAGAACAATTTTTCACAATTCTTTGTGTTCTTGCCATCGTTCTCTCGATTAATGAAGCAAGAACGTTTATCACTAATGGTGTGTTTGAATCTTGTTTGTATGAGTAAGAATATAAATCATAGTGTAGCTTCCTTGGTGATATTGTTAAAGAAGGTGATGAAGAAGCCATGAAAAAAGTGATTGATGATATGTATAAGCTTGAAGGGTAAGAATGTATTAATTTTGTTGTTAAGAAATTAAGTAGGAATGTAATGAAGAAAGGTTTATATATAAAGGAAAATGGAGTTGGCAATGGAGGGAGAAGGAGAGAGAAATTTTTTGGACTATTAGGGTTAATAAAAAAAAAAGAGATATGCTTTTTTTTATTTATATTGTTTATTATTGTTAAGAATTTTTAATTTATAAATATTAAAAATATTAAAATATATGAGTGGGTTACTCTTTGTTTGTGATGATAAATTACAAGCAGTGCCAGCTAAGGTTGCTCTATGTGTTGCATAAAAAACAAGACACTTTCTTCCACAAATTGGTCTTTGTTTAAAAAATTACATAAAGCTAGTAGTGGCCTGCAACTTGTTTACCACATACTTTATTCTTGTGCTTTATTTCTTATCCTCTTTTTAAAATAAAATATAAAAAATTAGAGAGTTTTGTTATAAAAAATATATTAATAATAAATATTTATTAATTATTTTTTCAAAAATATCATCTAAAAAATGTAGAGTTATTCTTTCTATATTTTCTTGAATCTTTGGTGCAACCGACAGTGAGGTGAAGAACAAGAAAGGAAATAATATAGCTGGTTGGTTGGTTGGTATAGGGACCTACAAAATTAACCAACATTTAAATGTCATTATAATATTCATATTCTTTTTATTTATGAAGATTTTGATATCCTAACAAATTTTTAATGAACACACGAGGAAACTATCATTTTCGGTTATTTTTATATATAATACTTTTTTTATTTTCAATATAAATAATTTCACCCACTATTTTAGGCATGTCGACAATTAGTTATCAACATTTCTCTCCATTGTAATTTAAGTTTCGTTTTTTTTCATGGTGAAAATTTATCTTCTTCTTCTTTAAATTAAATATTGATTAAATATTTAATTATGTAATAAATTTAAAAATATTTTTTTTTATGATGGTGATAAAAAATATTCTTTATGATTTATTTAAAGTTTAACATTATTTTTTTTAGGATGATATTTTAAGAATATATTTTTAGAAATAATATTTCTAATTAGTCGTATTTGATAAAAATTTAAAATTTTTATGAATAGTTGTTAAAGTTGTATTAATTTAAAATTATAAATAAATGTGAGTAGTTTCGATAGAAATGTTATATTTTCACATTTAAGTATTTGAAAAACATGAATAATTGTAACAATTTATAAAAATGTGAAACGAATGTAGGAATATTACGTATTTATAGTTATCTTTTTGAAAATAAAATTTTAAAGTGTAAAACAAACACGTTAGAACATGTTTAATTTAGTTTTATAAAAGTATTTTTTTTTAGTTTTTAAATTTTAAAAATAATAAAATTTATTTGATTATTTAATTTTACATAACTGTTTTGAAAATTATCTCTTATTTATTTAAAAGTAAAATAAATTTTATATGTTTTTTAATTAAAAAAGGAAAATCATCTATTATCTTCAATTAGACAATGGTGTGATCAATGTTATTAACACCAATATCTTGGCCGGAAGATTGAACACTTCTTTGATGAGAAAGAAAAAAGATGATGAATAACTATCATTGGAGTTTATATTTGGAGAATTTTTATTTAGAGGCATGATCGAAGAATCGAAGAAAGTGCATGCTAAGGCATTGATAACTCAAAGTGTTTATCATCGTCAAATATAATTAGACAATCTACCGTGTGAGGCGCCAGATTACACAAGGACGATTCTAACCGTTGATATTATATAAAGTCCTAAACACGTCATTTTCGATATTCTCTCATTCGCATACTCAAACAATTTTTTCTCTTGTTCACTAGCTTTACCATTGAAGTATTAACTTTGTAGATTGTTGTCAGGGCCGACCTTGTGCATGTGCATGAAGACCCACAACACAAAGCCTCGTATAATTAGGAACCCCGATTTTATATTGTACTTTGTAAAAATATAATTAAATAGATAATATACAACTATGTTCCGAAAAATAATTAATATTAAGCACGTAATGTAGTAGTTATTGTGAGTTTAATATGTAGAAGGTCGTTGACTTGAATTTATTTGCAAGATATTTGTATTTTTTATTTTTTTAAAGGCCATATTTTATCATTTGCATTGAGCCTTCATATGTGTTGGGTCGGCCTTGGTTGTTGTAGTACAAACTTGAGTATATTTTTATCGTGTCTACATGAACCGGTTATGTTTCAAATGTCATTCGATAGTTTCTACGACTTTAAGAATAGTTTACCAAATGTTGATTGTTTGTGAAATGTTGAAAAGATGGAAAGTAAAATAACATAAAGTAAATTGAATGTTGGTGTTTAACAATTGAGAAAACTTATTGGGATTAGATTTCATCAATATGTGCCCATGTAAAATAGTGATAAGTATTATGCAATTCTAATAAACTATTAATATTATTGCACATCGCTCTCGTCGTAACTCATGTTTGAGTCAACAACGTGAGGTCAATCATATAGCCTAACAGACAATCTCCCAGCCTATTAACTAATACGATAACATTAAGCTTTGATGGTTCATATGGATACTAGACCTAAATCTATATATAGAGTTTAGCATATCTAATAGATGAAAATTTTGGATCTAGTAATGACCAGTACCATTCAAATATTAAATCAAATCATGAAAACTTGTTATAGGTAGTTAAACTAAAACAAGCATTATGAAGAAGAATTTATCAATATTAAATCTTAAGAATAATTACATGGAATACCATGATTACAATACATGAGCATTAGGACTATTATGTCTTACCCCAACAAAAGAGAAATTAGGTACGCTTTCTCATTGTAGCTTTACAATTAAGCCCTAGAAGAAAGACGTTGAAAAGCACCTGTTGTCGATTCATCGAACAACACTTCCACCCTTAATCTTCCTTTTTTTCCTTCCCTGTTATGTTTTTTGTATACAATGGAGTTTTTTTTTCACTCTGTACCAATAAAACTATTAACTTACACCAAGTTATTTTCAATTGAACTGTCTAAACCCCTTATTTATAAGGTTCTGGTATTCCATTCTCTTTAACAGAGGCTCATGGCTCACTTAGCAAGCATATTTTCTTCTCCCCTATGATATTCCAACTCATTCTGCAAGTTTTCTTTCCCACTTGTCCTCTCTTAGCGCTTCTCCAAGCTCGCTTAGCGAGCAAACCCTTTTTCTCTCATCAAGTAAATTAACCCTTAACTCATTGGCTGCCATACCTTACTTAGCATGCTTGATACTGCGTTAAGCGAGGTTTTTTTCTTAGCTTTGAAGTTACTTGGCTCTGAAGTCTTCTTTTTTTGTCTTTGCTTGCTTAGTGAGGCCTTGTTCTTGGCTTCACAAGTTTTGGTTCTTTTTTGCTGGTTTTAGTGTGTTCTTAGGGGGGGGGGGGGGGGGGGTTCATTGAATGCTTGCAAAATATATTAATAAGTGCTTATGTATTTTACGTATTTTTTACACCTATCAACTCTCCCCAACTCATCTTTTTGTTTCTCTTTAAACAAATTCAATACACATTTTTCATAAAAATTTAATATGCATAGTTCATGTAAGGTCTCAAGACTTGATCAATAAGGTTTTGAAAGATATTTGAAGTATGTCATGGTTTTCTAAAAATGAAAGTTCATAATCAACATTATAAGCATCCATAAACTACCGCATTAAGATGAAATTTTTTTTTACCAAAGAATAATTTTAGAACATGTTCATATCAACAGTCAGTTATTCATCAGAATCACGATCTCTTTATGTACCACTCAAATGGTTAGTGTTTCCCTTATTTATCAGACAATGCATCGACTATAGAAATATTGTGTACTTCATCCAAGCAATATCACAAGATACATAATCAATCATGGATCATTAAAGTCTTTATATTTTGGTTTTAATGTGGCTGGGCTACAAAAATCTTGGTTTTTTTAGATCCAAATGTTACTAGCATATAAGAGAATAAGATTTATGTTTTTCTTTTTTCTTTTCCACTTTACAACTTCTTCTTTTGGTGACTATTTTTTGGGTGTGTAAGATTTGACATTTTTAACTTTTATTTTCTTTCTTTTTCTTTTTTTATTTCAAATTAGATTCTTTTTTTTTATCACAATCACCTTTTACTACTTATTTTTGTTATATTTCAAACATCTCTTTCTCCCAAACTTTATCATTTTTGTAAAAACTTGAATTTTGAAGGTCTCTTATCTTTAAGGCAAGGTATGAACATTATTTTTCCTTTAGAAATAGGCTAAGGATTGTAATTTTTCAAAAACAAAAATTTTCAAGTTAACTCTCAAAGGGATTGTCAAAGGATTGCACCAACACAAGGTAGGTTTTATGGTGATGTAGATTTTTCACTCAATAAGAAAACAATTGCTTAATCATATACATGACATCATATATATCAAGTAATAGAAATAATGATGCAGAATCAATATAATTATAATGCATTTATACTCCCATTCCTTTAGGTAAAACATGAGGTATGTACTTATTACTCTTGGTTTAGGCTTATGATTCTTGACTTATATTGAAATGTTTTCACCAAAAAATTAATATATTCAAACTTTGAATATACAAATAATTCATGATCATGATATTAATTTAAAGATAATCACAATATTAATCACGAATGAAACATTTAAAAGAATGAAACTTTTATCATGCCAGTATTCATGATTTTTTCTTTAACGTAAGCTTTGTGATTCACCTGCATTTGGTTTTTCAAATCATTTGAACCATCCATGGACAAACAACTTTAGACAAAAATTCACAAAAAAAAAATCCAAAATTTTCAAACAAGTGCTTAATCAAATCATTAAAAGTATTTAAAATATTATAGATGTTTTGGCGTGTAGGCTCAATTTTGATATCATTTGTATTCCACCCTTTGTAGAGAATCTTGGCTTGTTCTATTATTAGAGATAAGGTTTATTTTGTAAAAGAAATCACTAAGAAAAGAATATCTTGCTAAGCGAGTTTATGA